CCGCGCTCGTTCTCGCGAGTTCGCCGATGTTTTTGAAAAGAACGAAAAGGAAAATAAAACAACTTCTGTTTACAGGCTAAATATACATGAACGTTTTTTCTCTCTTCTCAAGGATGAGCAGCAATTGTCAGCCAATGATTTTGAACTTACCAGCTTAGGAAAAGCAAAATCGATCTTACCTCACAAGGTAAAGCCTAAACAAAGAGACGTATATCTGCATGCAACATCTAGCTGTAAAAAAGTATTAATTATGATATTGTGCACTTTGCCAGAAATATATCTATGAACCTAGTCTTCAGGACAGGCGACCTGATTAACTTACACAAATGTTTAAAGAGATAACAGCAAGATTAAAGCACATTTATTGTTCCTTCTATCATCCAAAGACCTTTGCATTTTGTGGCGTTTACACATTGTTTGTATTGAACAAAGGTACATCAGAAGCGCCGAATGATAGTAGGCTAAAACATTCCATTAGAGGTAATGCAATGTTATCAAAACGATGCATATAGATTAAAAATAGTTCTCCCACTTCATACCTGCTTTTATCGCCAGTTGTTAATGTTTAACCACTGACTAACAGATTCTGAGAACATCAGTGGAGTGCTAAATTATGGGTGTCTTTGTGCTAGGAAAATCAGCTTTTTCTAATGCCTCTCAGTACCAGTTGTACCCTGCCAGCAGAGTCGCTTCGATCGCAGCGACTCTGCTAGCAAGGTATAGCAGTTGCTACTCTAACGAGACATTTTGAAAGGCAGCTTTTAAAGCGAACGGCACCTTTGCTCATTCTCAAACAGTCCGGAAACAATTTTTGTTAACTCCTTCATTTTTCAACGGTTACATTGCGCCAGTTTCGGTGATCTAGTCAGGCCTGGGTTTACTTTTTCCCTCGGACTGAACAAGCTTATGCTACGATTCGAATCAAGGGATTTTGTCCTTTATGCTTCCTTTTTTTGTGACTGCTGTTACCATTGCTAAATGGACCATGATTCCTTTTTATTTTTCATTTGTTTCATACATCAAAAGTCGGTTAAAGCTTCTGAAGGAGAATCACTTTAGTCGTAGTGAAACTCATTATCAGGAATGAAACACTGAGGGTCGGTTTTTTGAACGAAATCTCTTTCTTAGTGGGTTATTTTAAGAAAATATGTGCCTTTCTGGTCTACTCCATATGTTTTCATGAAACTGTTCACGATAAATGCGGGAGGTTAGATAAAAGCCCTGGACAAAATGAAAATGTCTTAGAACGCGGTTTTGTTAAACTCTGTTTAAAATCCCTTAAAATTAAATAAGCGGCCCTTTGAGACTTGAATCCTGAAACCGTGTCCTCGAGTGACGGGAACTCAAGTAAAACCACAAACAAAAAACTCTTGTAAGGCTTATTTTAAAAACCTTAAGCAAGTAGTCAAAATACAGGGGAAGCGTTTCCGCGCGTGTTCTTCGACAAAGGTTCTTTTTCTTGTATGAGAGCCTACCATTCAAAAGAGTTTGAAGAGAGTTCCACGGTCCTGAAGAGTTTGGGTAAATTTTAAATCTTTCTGTCAAGAAATTCCAAGTCTTCTTTTTCATCGAAGGAAGTGTTCTGTTAGGAAGAAAGGATTAACTCCGTATGTGTATAATTTTTCGAAACTGGTCAATTTTTTTTTTTTGTTAAATAAACGTTCAATGTCGAACTTAGGCTACCTGTGTTCATTTTCCCGGTGCATGTATATTGTCAAATACCGAGTTATCATGGAGAAATATTTTTCCAGAATGTATTCAAAATTTATAGTTATGAGACTTTGTTCTCATTTAATTATAACTCTTATAAAGAAAAAAAAAAGCAACATGCATGGTTTGGGAAGGCATATTTTGAGAAATACTTATCAAAACCTCCTGTCATTACATGGGTTTCTAGTTCAGTTGCTCCCTTCACTCTTCACTGCATGAAAATGTTCAATAACTCTGAATAACTCCTAGTACATTAAGACAAAATAACTTTCCTTTATGATTAGCCGAACGGAAGTCTAACGAACCGTAATTCCTATTCGTAATGATTCCTTGCAATATAAGACAGGTACTTCATTCAAAACCTCCTTCTCTAATCATTCGGACGTTAAATTTCGCCGTTTGAGTGGAGAGAACAGTTTTTAATACTTCAACTGAATCATTCAACTGATAGTACATGATAGTACTGAGGGCCTGTAACGATAAAAGGAACCCTTTCTTGGCTACTGCTTTCCTTCATAATTCTTTCTTTTGTTGAATGAACGTAGTTTCAGAGGCACAAAGGTTTGACTTGGTTAGTCAGTAAATGTTGTCATTTAGCCATGCATCACAGAATCACAGCGCTTCGAGGAGCTTGCTTCGCAAGTCGTACGCAAGTAATCCCATCTACACAGGGTGAAGCTCAAATAAAAGTAAACATTTGACTCACCTCACTGTCAATTAACTGTTTTACGCACGAAAACAGGACTACAATGATTTTCTTAGTTTAGTTCAGTGTTGCCCTTATTTATGTGAAGAGACTAACAATAGAGCTGTATCGATATCCAAACGTCAGTTCTGCTAACACACTGGACATTTATTCCTAAAACAGATCGAATCTTCATGGGTATACCAAACCTTTAAGAAGAAAAGGTGTAGTCATTATATTCCTTGTGAAGAGGAACCAAGCCGGTGGGTAATTAATGATAAAAAAACCATACTTTGTAGATTCTATTGTTGTTTACAAGGATTACACATCAGTCAGTTCGCTGTGGCAGAAATTTAATAGCCTTGTTGCCAAAGAGCAACAAATGGACCAAGAAAACATACTTTCATGGGCTGCCTCATTTATGTATTAGTGGATTATTCTGAATTAGAAATAACTGTTAGGAATAGCCAAATTCAGAAAAACAATTGATATTATGCAATGATTGATATAAATGGTCCGCATGACATAGTATTTTTTCCACCGATCAAAAAGCTACATACCAAATAAAAAGAACTATTAATTATACACGGTACGATGTGAAATTACTGCTGAAAATGTTTGGTTTGAATAACTGACTCAAAAGTTAGAACCGTGTGCAATAAATAATTAGTACATTCTGGAATTACTTCTCAAAAGATTTCATTTCAATGGTACCATAGGATTATGAACAATATTCATGTCCGTAAATATACTGAAAGAGAATAGGTGAAACATTTGACTTCTAAATGTTAACAACAAGTTAAGCAGGCTAGAAGAAGCTGAAACATAATCAGCAAAAATTTGCTTTTTTATGATATCATGATTTAACGATGATCATTTTTATATATTTTTTTAGTTGCGGTTGTGGTCGTTTAAAGGCCTCCCATGATAACACAACAAAAGATGGACCAACGAATAGAGAACATGAATTAACAGAACCTAGACAGGCGAGTAGAACTGAGTTAAATGTCGCTTATACGAGGCTACCAGTCTCTCTACTCCGCAGAGGTTTCCCAAGTAAAAATATAAACGCGCCGGGGACGATCTCTCTATCCCCTTCCGATCGTCCCTTACGCGCTTTCTTTTTCGCAATCCCCAACCTCGCCGCGACACAAAGAGGACTATGCTGAGAAGGGAGGGCCACGAGTTCAATTTTAGCAATGTTTTGGGTTTACAGTATTTGTTATGATGTGTTTCATGGGTTGTTCTAACATTCAATCAGGAAACTATCGCCGTCGAATGGAAAGTATCAGAGCACACAGAAACAGATGGACCGACGGATGCTTTCGGCGAACTTGAATTTACAGGAGCTGGACAAGCAAGTAGAGCTAAGGTAAGCCTAGACTTAATTCCATGTCTATCACGCTAACACAAGGCAAATATAATTATGAAGGCTGTTTTTATTTCTACACTGATCATTGACTGATTCTGGACTTAAATTTATACCCTACCGTAGTAAAATGGAGGATAAGTTGTACACTTGAAGGTTTGGGCTCGACAGAGATAATGGGGCTTAAGCAACAACGTTTTTTGAGTGACGGACGTCAACCGGAAGTGGACTTTTTGCATCATTGTGTTGTGGTTTGGTTGAAACTCTCGGGTAAATCGTCTTTATAAGAGAAAAGAAACTTAGCAATACAAATTTGTTAGAGTCAAGGAATATAAAAGAGAAGGCCTCACTTCCGGTTGACGTGCGTTGCACAAAGACGGCTTTATGCACTGAGACAACTCAAGAAGTTCAAAGTTCCGTCGGCTGATATTGTTCATATCTACTGCGCTCTAATTCGCTCTATACTAGAGTGCGCCTCCGCTGTCTTTGCTGACTTGCCTAAGAATCTTGCTTGCTATCTTGAGAACATGCAAAAAAGGGCCCTTTACATCATTTGGCCTGGTATTTCGTATGAAACAGCACTTGACAAAGCTGCATTATCCACTCTTTCTGACCGTCGGGCAGTCTCATGTATTAAATTCATAGGTAAGGTTCGGCCAGGTAACCCGTTATACCCACTACTACACAGCAGAGTGGTACCTATATCTACCAGTGTGTGTCTAAGATCAGGGAGTTCTAGCAGGCCCATTACCACAAGAACTGAACGTTTCTCAAATTTTGTTAGTGTTAAATATTAATCTTATCAATAAAAGCGTATTAGTACATATATCACAGATTGTAAGGTATCCTACAATTTAATATACCGACTGCAAAAGGGACAATAAAGCAGTGATTTTTGATTTGACTGATTTGATTTGATTTCAAAGATGTCTTTGCTGAAGCTCCCTAATATTTAGATTTAGCCAGGGCTAAAAGCGAAGCTTAAATCAAACAATAAACTTGTAATCCACAAATAAGTTAACTTAAGGGCACATTCATGTGACTTTTGAGGGAAAGGCTAACTGATTTTAAATTGAAAAATCTTACATCGAGTTGATAGCCTTATATGTACACCCAAAATATAGCAAACATCTTCCATCACATTCAAGAGCCATAATGGAACTTGATCACAGTAGATTAGGCTTCGAAAACAAATTCTAGGAAAACAAATCAGGCCGAATTTTCTTGCGTTCGCCAGGTTTACTTTACAAATTCTTGCCAACAAATCTGGTGTTGTGTAAACCAACCTTTAATACTTTTTATACATCACATCTGAGGTGAAACAGTACTATTTATCATACAGACCTCGGACAGAATGCGGTATTTCCCATTTTTTCAAGACTAATTGCACTCAGTCAATATTCAGGACGACCAATCGCGGGCTTTTAGCGAAACCATTCAAAAAATTTCCAAAATCACCCATACGGCCAGCCGGTTCTCATTTCTAGTGCGGGATGTCAGTTTGGTCGGGTGTTTGAATGATCCTGCAAGCGATGTTCATGAACGATGAGAACAAACGGCACGGACAAGCGATTAAAATTGCAAGAGAAACTACTAACAATCAATAAAAGAAATATAATTCGGTGAAACATTTACAGAGACAACAATTTTCATTCACGAAGACAAGTATTAAAGTGTCTCTAAAAAATCTTTAAGCTTAAAGCTTAAGCTTAAGTTAATTAAGCTTAATATTCATTCAAAATATTTCCCCAATTCTGATTGGCTAAAAGCACACGCATAATTCACCATAACCAGTTACTGATGACCAAATTTGGAAGAATTTTGTGTTTAACGAGGAAATGACGTCAAAAGTGCAGCCCGTTACAGAATAAGGCACCGTTACCGAGAGGAACTGGGGACGAGGTTGAGTTGTTTTGGTTGTAAAAAAAAATAGCGGACATTTCACTCTTTTCAAGAGTAAGAAGTACAGCTGGAACTAGGCGAAATAATAGCTAAAAGCATGGCAAAAATAGCAAGAAGACAACTCGGAGGGTAACATCTGCTATTTGGAGAATACTTGCGGAGCTGGACAAACCTAAACGTACACTATCAAAGATGAATTTAACATCGATGCAGGTAAGCATGTTTCAGCTATGTTTTTAAGCAAAGCAATTAATGAATTCGGCTTTCGTAAGATATGAAGAATTGAGCAGATCTCGGAGGGTGTTATCCACCTCGGCCGATAACACCCTCCTCGATCTGCTTAATTCTTCATATCCTACTCAGCCTCATTCATTAACTGCTAATTATGTTTTTACTTTAAGCTGGCCTCTCGGTTTTGGCTTTTTTCAAATTAAAGATGAACTCCTCGAAGCAAGAAAATCGCTCAAAGTTTCCTTTCTACTGCCAAATTTATAACTAAATATTCTTCGGAACGTTTTCTTTCTATTTGCGGTGAGAAATATATCTGAAGGCCTTTTAAAGTTCTGTAAGCTTATATCAAACTTGATACTAGGTCAGATCATTGACTCAAATCTTACAAACGTGCATAAGCTTGCCGCATAAACTGTGCTCCAATTAGATATCAAACAAACACCAAATACAATAATTACTCAGGCTTACCATTCGAGATTTAGTTCCTGAAAGCTATCAAGGAAGGCCACAGTTGCTTGAGACTTTTAAACCCTCTTACGCATTAAGCGAGGTGAAAAAGCGAAAACGATGCAATCCGGAATCGGATTACCGAATTTTGAGAAGCGACGCATTTCTCAACCAAAACCTAATTAACAAACCAGCCATGAATAACAGAAGACTCTTGATAGCAGCTGTATTTCATTTTGTACATCCAGTGAAAAAAGACAGTTAAAACATCACTGAAGTTGACACAAAACTCTGTCAGCTTCAGCTGTCAAAGTAAACAATTTTCAAGATGCTGAGTAAATTTTCCGAATGAACTCACCTGTCAATATTGACCAATCAGAGCATAAAAATTGGACGTAGAGCGTGACCAACGCGTGGCCATGGTAAGAAAAGGTCTTCCCCGCCTGAAATTTTTAAAAAAACTGGCTGAATTTTCGCGTCCGAGGTCAGTTTGAAATCAAAATCTTAATAGTGCAGGGCCTTAGTGACATAAAGACAACGTATTTCATATGAATCATTGGATTAAATAAACTTGAGCCTGCGATCATTTGAAACTGGTAATTTGTCAGCGGATAACTTCAAAAAATACTCAACCTCGATGGGACGACAATTGAGCCCGCGGTACGGTCAGGTGATACTGATCAGCGGATACCCTGTTTGACAGCTGTCAATTGATCATAACACTGATGTGCAATTAGTTTTCTCTTGGGCTCCCAAACTAGCGAGAGTAAACATTGGTTTCCCTGTGGTGATGACGGACGGTCGCTCGCTCGGTCGATGTACTGTCACGTGATTACCAAATTTTCTGGGATGGGTAGATTTACTTAGCTATGGGGCTCCGCCTACGAAGCGCGGCGCGTGGAGCTCCGCTATTAAAGAGTGGAACCCCGCTCTATGGACACCGCCCTTAAAACAAACACCCACATATAAGAGTTTCTTTTTATGACTTTCATGGGTTAATACAGTGTTTAACCCTTGTACTGAAGCCCTTTAATAGAGTTTCGGCCTCACTAAACAAGTTTCACTTCCTTGGCTTTTTTGCTGAAGTCACTCTTTGTCTGCTTTAGTATTTACGTCAATACAAGATTTGTCCGCGACGTTTTACTGTTGAGCCCGATAAATATGGACGACGCCATGGTATGTCCCCTTGGCGGTCTGTATTAACCAGGTTCCCGGGTGACTGTTTTTAAGGACGATCCGATATTTTTTAGAGACTGCAAATGTAACTCTGTAAAGGTTCAACAAACTCGCTTCAGATTGATGAAATCTTATGTTTGCTAGTTCTTATCATGGTTTTTTTTTTTTTCGGTAGTTCATTCGTATTTCTGATGACACTGATCCTGAGAATGTTCTGCGCCTTTTACAAGAGGAATGGAAGTTAGAATTACCCAAACTTGTCATCTCTGTTGCCGGTGGAGGAAAAAACTTTTTCATGCATCCAAAATTAAAGGATTTGTTTCGACAGGGATTGTTGAAGGTGCTTAATTGTGTAAAGTCAATCATTGACACACAAAATCATTAACAGAAATGTCATCATAAAATAGTCTTTAGATTCAGACTGCAATTCATTTCTGAACCTAAGGCAATGCTTGCACTACAGCTAGGGTTCTATCTAGGGTATTTGAGGGGTAGAAGCTTCCCCCCCCCCCCAAAAAAAAAAAAATGCCCAGCTTCCCCCAAAAAAATATTGTCATCATTACAGTATATAAGTAATTATATCCGAAAAATCATCCAGACGCGACAAGGTCGGTGCACACACTGTAACATTTCTCAAAATTGTGTCTCAAAATGCACCTGCATCTCAGCGCATATTCATTTCAAAACATTTCCGGGGGGCATGCACCTGGACCCCCCTAGGAAGCTCGTTGCCTTCAGCCACTCCGGACGTCTCCCCCAAAGGATAAATCCTAGATAGAACCCTGATAGCGGATTGATAGCGGACAGCTTTTCCTGGCACAACGAAAAGCTATCCGCTATAGGGTGAACACAGCCTTAACGATATCAGTCCAAAGAGTGCCTGAAGTAAAAACAGAGAAAAAAGAAGAGATTTCTTTTCGAAACTACCACAAATTGACCTCTGAAATATTAGAAAAAGAAACAAATGGAAAAGGATCACTCAAGAGGATTTCTTTTGAACGAGCCATAATGAGCCATAGGATTTCATCTTAAGACTCAAAAGTTATAACTTAACGTGCTAAACAAATAGTACCAGACTCCAAAATTATAACTACAAATACATACTAGATAAACAATACTATGTGTAAGTACTACTAAAAAAGTATCATTTGAATGGTCACTGCACAGGATCTGGTCCACAGACTCAAAAGTTAGAGCTACATACTAAGTGAATAGCACCAATGCAAGTGAGAGTACTACTAAAGAAGTTGCATTTGAATGGTCACCCCATTCGATTTCATTTACATAGTCAAAAGTTAGAACTTCATACTAAATAATTAGTACCATGTGAAAGTACTGCTGAAGAGGTTTCATTTGAATGGTAACACCATAGGATTCCATCCACAGACTCAAAAGTTAGAGCTTCATACTAAATAAATAGTACCATGTGAAAGTACTGCTGAAGAGGTTTCATTTGAATGGTAATACCATAAGATTTTATCCACAGACTCAAAACTTAGAACTACAGTCTAAGTTAATACAAACTTGATTTTATAAAATTGAACTGCTAAACTGCGGGGTGAAGAAATGAATGCAGAGATTTTTACAGTAAATTCGCAACTTATGTATGCGAAAAGAAAGCGTAATTAAGTTCAGGCTTGACCTGAGGTAGTCTTCTTTTCATATATTTCTTCACCGGACAGTTGAAGTATGGGAAACTTGATATTTCTATCATATAACCGTCTCCCAGTTGGTTGTATAGCTTAATTGGTTAGAGTGCTGTACCGGTAACGCATCCCGGGTTCCAATCCCGGAAAGCCTGAACTTTTTAACCGTTTCTTCTCGCAGCTACATAAGTTGCGTATTTTACTGTGATGATCTTCTCTGAATTAATTTAATATACTCAAACCTCCCCTAGCCTGTTCCAGGCTCTCCGTTAGTGGGGATGACGCGTAAGTAAAAGGCAAGCGAAATTGTGAGCGCGTGATCTGGGAAAAAGGGGCGGTGGCGGCAAAAAGGAATGGAGAGAGAGGAAGGGAGACGACCTTCTTCTCCCAACTTTCCTCCCGTTTTATTTTCGTGTTCGCGCTTTCTCAACTTCTTGGACCCGACTACCTCGGAGCCTGGAACAGGATAAACCTCCCCGAGCAACCATTCAAAATTAGAAGATTTCTTGATCTCTTATGAAAAAGGCAGATTTACTCTGGGTGGCGTAGTACATACAGTGGACAAAAAAACGCCGCAACATTCACCAAGTGGTCGCTTACAAGAGGTGAAAAACAATGGAAAACTATAAGACCGTCAGGCCAAAAAGTGGTCGAGGTGGCTTATAGGAGGTGATCGTTTACGAGAGTTCTAACTATAGAGCTTTCACGCGGAGAAAACTTCGGTATTTGAATAGATGCATATGGTCGCTAATAGGAGGTGGGCACTTACGTCGCGAGAGGTGGTCGCATATGGAGGTTCGGCTGTAGCACAAAGAGGTTCTAGATGAAACTGAAAAACATCATTATTAAAATCATGTGAACATCCCAAGCCTTAAGTGTATGGAGCCTTAGTGCCTTTGTCCTCAGCCTAATAAGATTTTAGTCTTTAAAACGATGCTGTAAAAATTGAGCAAGTTCAAGATCATTTAGGGAATACTCTCACAATTTTTTATGTGCAGAGCCAGGATAGATTATGGCGCTTTTCGAAACTTATCGAAAGCAGCCCAGTATACACGTGATTCACTCCATGACTACACAGGGTCCCTTTCCTTAGCACCTGAAAGGATCAGTCTGCCTTTATCGTCACAAGACACCATAAAAGGGTACCCATTCATGGTCTCTTGTTTAACAGTAGAAAGAACGAATTGAAGGTTTTGAAAAAGTTCGTGACTTCGAATACATGTATCCAAAGTAAAGTAAAATAAGCGTAGAAAGGCTGCATCCATAATAACTTCTTAAACTTAACTATTAACCTCTCTTCAAAATTTTTTGCACAGGCAGCCAAGACCACTGGTGCATGGATTATAACAGGGGGAACAAACACTGGCGTAATGCGTCACGTAGGAGAAGCAGTAAAGGGTCATACTGTAATGTCACGAGGGGCAATGCTCACAGATAAAACGTCTCAGGTGCACTTGATCGGAATCGTTCCATGGGGCATTGTGGAGCACAGGTCTGAGTTGATTGGAGAGGTAAGAAGCATTTTAAAAGGCACTTAGTAGCGCACACGAGGAAGATATTATGTTCGCCTGTCTCTTGAGCGTGGAACAACAACAACAAGTCTTTAAAAAGGAAACAGACTTTACAATAGTGAGATTCTGAAAGGCCATGTGAAAGAAAAAAAAAATTGGTAAATAAATAAATAAATAATGGTAATGAAAGGAACAAGTGGGAAACTAAAAACATAAATTGAAGCTAGCTAGTCTAAACTATCCTGAATCTCCGACAGGTTCTCGTAAGAGAGCTTGATACATTTCCTTCAACTTAAGTAGTTAATAAAGAGTGGCTGCTCAGTTTATAGAGCAGTAGATAATAAACTCTTAATGACTCGTCCGAGAGAAACAGTTTATTTTGTTTCCCCAGGATCGGCCTCGGGAAACATTGAGATTCGAGGGAAACAAAATTAACTGTTTCCCGAGGGACGAGTCTTTGAGAGAGATTTGTTATACAGCTGGAATTTTGAAGTAGAAAATTCATTAATTCTCGCAGGAACAGCGGTCGTCGGTCAACATAGACGGACGTCATAGATTTTGCAATGTTACCCGCTCAGAGATTTTGGCGGGAAACTGTTTTAGTATTAGATTTCATGTGACCTCGAAGTAACCAATGAGAGTGCGCGCGGTTGCGAAAACATTTCCAGCTATATAACAATTATATTTTGTGGATTCATTTCGTTTGTGGCTTGTTTTCTTGATTTTTCTGGCAAACGACCATCTCCCGTTAGCGAAAACGTTCTCCTGAACCAAAGGTGGTCAACAGAGAGTTGACAGTACACTCATTATCTTTTTAAACACAGGATGTTGTTACATATCACATGACGTCAAGCTTACAGATCCAGGGATCGTGTATCGACAACAATCATTCACATTTTTTGCTGGTGGACGATGGCACTGAAGGCAAATACGGAGGAGAGATCGCATTCCGTGCAAGACTTCAAAACTGCTTATCAAATAAAGAGATTTCCAAAAGTAATTATCTAAGAGGTTCAGTTTTTTTTTTCTAATAGTCTTTAACGTAATCTATGTACGAGGTATTACAGCACCTAAACACCTTTATATAAACAAATTTTTGGTTCGAAAGGGTTCTTCGTTTTGCGAGAGAGGACGCTTGAATTTCCAGGCTTTTGCGTGACGCAGCATTTAGCTGACGGCCAGGAAAGCTCTTATGTGGGTTAAAAACATTAACGATTTTGGGAGATTTTCCTATCTTAACATTCCTTGTCTCAGAATAAGTATTACTTAATATTTATGAGTTCCTCAAGCGAAGAATTCAAGCTTTAGTTGGAAAACTCGAAAACATACATGATGTATGTTTCTGTTAGTTTCCGGCGGCCATATAAACATAACGTTTCCATACAAAGCTTTATAAATTTGGGTAAAACGTTTTTCCGAATATCTTGCGTCTAACATATTGCACAGACCTGATTCTTGGCAAAGCCTATATTTATCTTCTTTCATTTCCCAGATTCTTGATTTTCTGTATTGAATGGTTTGCATTTTTATTTTTCATGGCTTGAAAGTGCAAACCGAGAATTTAGATGAAAATTCCCAGACAAGCAAGTCAAATGGTAAGAGGTTCAGTTTTTTCTAATAGTCTTTAACGTAATCGATGTGCAACGTCACCCCAAAACGGTCGTTTGGATAGGTTTTTTATAATACCTTCGGGGTCGTTTTCCTTTTGTTCAATATAGCACTCTCTGACAAGCCCATGAGAGCAATTGAGAGCTCTCACCACATTCATCAATATTTGACATTCATTTCGGGATTATTGTTTTTAACTATCGTCAGCTCAATGAAACGAGGCCCATTCCCTCCTTCAAAAGTCTGTCAAGAGTTCGTGTTTGCTGCATCGATCCACGTTACTTGTTGCCAGCTGAGGTGGATTGCTTCCTGCCATATTACCGGGGTTGTGAATACATCGTTGTAAACATCTAAGTTGCTAAAAAGGTGAATCTGTGTTTGGAATAGCTCCCCCACTGATACGCGAATTTTGCAAAAGGCAGGGGGGAAAGGCCTGAAGTGAACGTCCTTTTTTTTTTAGAAGAATAACGTCCTTTCTCTTTTTAAAACTATTTAGATGAAAATTCTCGGCAGAACAAGTCAAATGGTATTCCTGTGGTACTGGTTGTCCTTGAGGGAGGTCCGAACGCTATTCGCACAGTGTTAGAGTCAGTTACAAGCAACCCTGCCGTGCCTGTCGTCATTGCGGATGGTAGCGGCAGAGCCGCTGATATTTTAGCGTATGCGTACTCGCTGTATAAAGCAAATGAAGGGTTCGTATTCCTTCTTATAATGTTTTTTCTTTTTATGTCCAGAAGGCATGGCAGTTGCGTTAACCGGTCATTGTTAAAATGTACATTTACTCAAACCAGATTCAGTGTGTTATCAAAATTTTTCTAAAACTTGGATATACCTTGAAATCATGCCACTAAAGATTTGGTGGCGATCATGTTTTCAGAATCTTAACACTATGAGTTTCTTTGAAGGAGGAATCATCTAAAAGCTCTTGCTAAAAGGCAAAACACATTTTAACACTTTACACGGTTTTTGCTATGTTGACAGGTTTGATATGAAGCACTTTCCTGAGGTTGCAGAGCACGAAATACTTAAACTAAGAATCGAAAAAGCCTTCCCAAAGAGCTCTGAAAAGGAATGGTCTGAGTGTTACTCTAATGTACTTGAATGCGTGGAGAAAAGTCAGTATGTAAGTTGAGAAAACGAGTGTGTGCATCTCAAATAAATGTCATGATCTGTGCTGGGTATCTCATCCCAGATTCGTCTTACAGTATGTTGCCCAGTATCCGGCCACTTCAGTTTAACATTACAATTACTTTCCTTTCTTGATCGCACGAATTTTGAAATTTGGCCCAGAGACAAGCTATTTAGTCAATCCTTAATATGACGAAAGACAGTTTATTACAGTGTTTATTTTTTTTCCTTTGTTTCCATCAAGAAATTAATATTTTTGCAGAGCTCCTATGTTGCCCAGTATCCGGCCACAACAATAACAACGTAATTACAATATATACATGTAATTTCGACAGGCAAGTGACTTATAAGCTCCTCTTGCACTTGCAAAGTAGTCTAGCATTCGATTTGAAAGATATAAATCGATCTGGGAACCTAGCATCGTGAAACAAAATGACTGGGATGTGTGGGGAAAACTACGCGAGCGGCTGATCAAGGTTGGAGATGCGAAGAGAAAAAATGAAAACAGAAACTAACAAAAAGACAATTTTTTTTCCTATAAAATACTTTGAACTGTTCNAAATAAATGTCATGATCTGTGCTGGGTATCTCATCCCAGATTCGTCTTACAGTATGTTGCCCAGTATCCGGCCACTTCAGTTTAACATTACAATTACTTTCCTTTCTTGATCGCACGAATTTTGAAATTTGGCCCAGAGACAAGCTATTTAGTCAATCCTTAATATGACGAAAGACAGTTTATTACAGTGTTTATTTTTTTTCCTTTGTTTCCATCAAGAAATTAATATTTTTGCAGAGCTCCTATGTTGCCCAGTATCCGGCCACAACAATAACAACGTAATTACAATATATACATGTAATTTCGACAGGCAAGTGACTTATAAGCTCCTCTTGCACTTGCAAAGTAGTCTAGCATTCGATTTGAAAGATATAAATCGATCTGGGAACCTAGCATCGTGAAACAAAATGACTGGGATGTGTGGGGAAAACTACGCGAGCGGCTGATCAAGGTTGGAGATGCGAAGAGAAAAAATGAAAACAGAAACTAACAAAAAGACAATTTTTTTTCCTATAAAATACTTTGAACTGTTCATTTGTAGTAAATATTTTCGTGCCATTTCTTCACACTGCGACACGCACTTGTTAACACGGTCTACTTAACCACACCGTCTCCAGCGGATTGATGGTGTGGCCACTGCAGGGAACTCTTACAGGAAATGCCCGTTTTTTCAATGAAACGCAAGAAATTTGAATCAAAACTGTATACTGGGAGATAATTTAATAAAAGGGGAAGGAATAAAAAAATGATGAAACTCCGAAACCTCTTCAGCTTGGCTTGCTGTCTTAGATGGCATAGTTCTTGCCTCCTTGTCTAGGAACTTTTTCCCTGATTTAAGGAAGGCATCCGTGGACAAGCCAAAGCCGCGGTTTGCAAGCTCAATCAGCCAATCTGCGAACTGGATTTTTTTTTCAATTTTTTGTCAAAAAAAAAAAGCTGGAGAAGGGCCTTTCCGACGGTCAATTAAAGGTCACTCTCCCACTTAGTCTGACCAAGAGCCTAAGAGATCAGAGCTCTTCGTCTGACCTGCAGTGTTGATTTCTTCATGTTCAGTTCCCACACTTGGGCTGCTTTTCTAGCACTAATTTCTCCTTCTTTCACATCCCTCAATCCCTTTGGGGAATTTTTCAGACCCGTTGCAACCCCTTTCTACCACAGGTAGCCTAAGCTCGAAATATGAGCGTCGGCCAGCATCGGCATTGTGGCGTAACATTCAAAATATAAAGATTTGTATGGGAAAAAAACCTATCGTTTCTGTAACCTACGAAAATGAAAGGATTTCAATAAAAAAACAGCTTACCTCAACCTTTATATAGACAGAAAACCGTTTACATAAAAACCCATAAAACGGCCATAAATCGGCCCGTGGATCCCACAGGAGAGACGTTACACACATTTTAAGTAAGGTAAGCTGTTTTTTATTGAAATTCTTTCATTTTCGTAGGTTACAGAAACGATAGGTTCTTTTCCCCATACAAATCCTTATATTTTGAATGTTACGCAACAATGCCGATGCTCATATTTCGAGCTTGGGCTACCTGTGATTCTACCAGTGACAACTGGGGGATTTTGTATGAGAATTCCGGGTAAAATTTCGGCGCTTCCGGTTATAGAAAATGCAGTAACGCGAAACAATCCGTGCACACGAAATCAGTTCGCCTCTGAATGAGTGAAGAAAATTTCCAAAGGGTTGAGTACCGAGAATTACATTATACAGATTATATTATATATCATAAGCTTTAATTATAGTTATAGGTATGAAACCAAGTTTTGTCCGGATATTGTACGCAGCTAATTCACCAACTCTGCACTGCAAAGGAAATCAATACTTAGTGAATGCCTCTCAATCTGGCCTCCTTTATTCCAAACAAATTGAATTTCAAGAAGAATTAATGAATTTTCTGACAACCTGACTTCTTTAAGTATCTTTACGTTAAATACAAAACAGTTTCTTTGGAAATATCACATATTTCCAACTCTTATTTGAACAGCATTAGTTTTACTGCGCAGGAAAAAGTGTCCATGAAAAGTTTACTCACCTGAACAGAACAGCGCCTTATGAAACTGTTTCTCAAGCAGTAAACCAACTTGTGTTCAGCTTCCATTCGAAATACTTCGTTTACCGAAAACTAAAAAGGGCGCTGCAAAAATTGAGTCTTTTTTAAGTGGCCGGATACTGGGCAACATACTGTAGTCAAGCTTTTTCAGAGAAATTTTGTCAGTGCCACTTGTTTACTTAGCTGTTCAACGTCCTTCCTACAGATCACAATATTCCATATGGACGACGATGGTATCGACATCGACAAGTCGATTTTAAAAGCTATTTTGAAAGGTTTGAAAGCACTTTTTAAGCAGTTATTTACAATGTATGGCAGTATGAGGCAGGCCATTTCATTTTCGTTAAAGCATACGGTAATAATAATGGCATTAATTGCTTTCATGCAGTGTATTCTTTGTTCCTTTTAAATGTTAGCAAGACCGAAACGATAATCAACTCTGCTGGACCTGGAAAATAAATTGATTAGTCATTTCATTATTGAAAGAAAAAATAGATGAGGCTATTATTCGTTTGCTTTTGCAGCGCAAAGTGCTTCGCCTTCATACCAGCTTGATTTGGCCTTGACGTGGAACCGAGCTGATATTGCTAGGAGTGAGATCTTTACTAAAGACCAAAAGTGGAAGGTATGGGTGTAATCGTGCAAGTTTATGTTGTTGTTGCATTACATTTTTGTACTTGACCAGGTGAGGGCCAAGTAATTACACTTGATAGGAAACCGAAAAGCACATTGGGAGGCTTAGACACAAATGTAATCTCGGTATGAAAATTCTTGTCTTAGCGGAGCTCCACGGAGCTCCACAGCGGAGCCCCATAGCTAAGGAAATGTGGTAATCTACCCATCCGAGAAAATTTGGTAATCACGTGACCATACACCGAGCGAGCGAGCGACCGACCGACCGACCGACCGTCCATCCGCACCACACGCATACCAATGTAAAATAACTCAATCAACAGGTATGGCAACCCAAATGCAACTCAAGGTTTTAATTGGAACGAAATCACATGGCCGCCCCGACTTTTAGAAAGAAAAAACAACAACAAAGTCGTCCCCTTTTCGGCGTTATTTTTTATGTTTACACTAACGTGGATAACAGAGAAAGAGCTAGAGCGAGTTATTGAAAACAAAGGAGACGAATTTCGTAGAGAGAAAAATAGTAAAGTCAAAGCAGCAGTGAAAAAATGAGAAATGTTAGCTGCCAGCAAGGTGAAAATGAGCGGCGGTGAAAAATAGAGGCGAACATGAACACAGGAAACAAAATATTGGGTAAACACATAAGACAATTCCTCCATAAAAATATTATGTAACTAGGAAGTTTGACGTTTTAGTGGTACAAAACAGCGTTGTAGTGGTGCAAAACAACGGCAAGGGAAAGACAAAAAGCGTGCTGCACGTGCAAATTTGCTTTTCGCTAATTAGAAGAAAAAGTGTGCTGCACGTGCAATTTGTTTTTTTGCTAATTAGATCTATTAGTCTTAAAGCCATTGTCGTCTCCGTTCATAAGTATTATTAGCCAGAGGTTTGCTTTTAGTCCTGGCTAAATCTATATATTATTAAAGGTTATTTTGTAATTGAAAAGGACCGAAGGAATTTTAAAAAGCGTTAGACTTGTCTCCTTGAAACTCAAAACACGAAATGCAAGTTGATCGTACAGCTAAAAGAGATTAATTTTTGCCCAAAATTTCGGTCAGTCAGAAATGACTTTTAATCAGTGCTGCGAAATGCTGATGAAGGTTAGTTTTTTTCACGAGTGCAATCTGAATATCGAGAAGTAAGTTAATCCCTCTTTAGTTGATCCCCAGGAAGATGTAGAACATTTCTCTTGGTGGTGACAGTAACAGGGACAGGGGATGAAAGAAGACTCACGTCCCAACTGATATCACCCACTTATTACCAAACCAGCCCCTAAAAGGTTGTCCACACCGCCGGGGTCTACGGCCCTTACTGCGGACTTAACAAACAGTAGTGTGGTTTCTTTACGTCCCACAACAACCAGAACAGTAGAGGAGTGGAGAGACCAAGCCTACGAGTTTTCCTCGTTATCCGAGAAGACTAAAATGTCTAACCATCTTTAGTTGCCAAAGGAGAGGGAGTAATTTTAAAACTCAGAGGTTTGAGCCGCAACCTGCGACGGAGCGGTTCGGCAAGCCGTCCCTTAGCTTATCCAGTTAAGACAGTTTTAAAGTTAACAGGGCGGCTGGGAAAAATTTAGCGCCGTAATATATTTCCTCCTATGTTGATAGCTCAACCGAAAAAAAGCATATATTTAACAATTAATGAATGAGGCTGAGTATCTTATGAATAATTATGGAGATCGAGGAGGGTGTTATCCGTCGAGGCCGTAGGCCGAGGCGGATAACACCCTCCGAGATTTCCATAATTCTTCATATGATACGAAAGCCGAATTCAATAATTGTTTTATTATTCATTCAAAATAATTCCTAGTTTAAAAACATAGCTAAAACAAGCTTGCCTGCATCAATGTTAAGTTTATCTTCAGTAGTTTACGTTTAGGTTTGTCCAGCTCCGCAAATATTCTCCAAATAGCAGATGTCGCCCTCAGAGTTGTCTTCTTGCTGTTTTTGCTATGTTTTTAGCCATTATTTCGCCTAGTTCCTGCTGTAGTTCTTACTCTTGAAACGAGTGAAGTGTCCGCCATTTTAGTTAAACGAAAACAACTCAATCTCGTCCCCAGGTCTTCTCGGTTAACGGTACATTAACCTGTAGAAGGCTGAATTTTTGACATCATTTCCTCCTTAAACACAAAATTCTTCCAAATTTGGTCATCAGAAACTGGTTATGGTGAATTATGCGTGTGTTTTTAACCAATCAGAATTGGGGAAATATTTTGAATGAGTAATAAACAAAATTATTGCGCTCCTTCGAGAGCAAAATTTCGCAAATGCGAAATACTCTCGGTGACGTCTCCAATAGTGGCGTGTTATTTATCTTTAGTTACTAATTTACATATAATGACACTCGACAGGTTTGTTTTGCCAAATATTTGCTCCGATAGCCGCACAAATTGTTAAATGCTAAAGATCCACCTTCGGACTAATTCACTAAAATGGAAGCCCAGTCTTTCAGCGTGTGGAATACAAAAATGACGTCCAGTTTTGATGGAACATAGTTAAATCATATCGATCTCTTAGTTAAATTAAGGTTGCATTCAGTAGTTTATCTTGATCATTTGTTTTGTGCTGGCTTATCCAACAGATGGAGACCTTGGAAGATAAGATGAGGGACGCTTTAATCAACAATCGTGTGGAGTTTGTAGATCTTCTTTTAGAAAAAGGTGTCTGTATGAAGAAGTTCCTGACTACAGATCGGTTAAATTACCTTTTCGAGGCAGTGACCGTAAGTACACTTCATGACGACGTTCATTAATTCCAAATCATTGCTGTTCAGACGTATCACTCTCCCGTTTTTACGTTACTTCTGGCCAGTGCTTATGTCAGTCGTACTGGGATGGGTTGGTGGTTGCCACTAATGGAAGTGGAATAGAGAAAACTTGGGAAGAGAAGCGTTTGAATCTGCTTTCGGAAACGCCCTAACACAACCCTTCAATACAGCCGTACTATACAATAGGTCATGAAGTAGAGTACTCAGTCCGTTCTCGTCAAATGCAAAACCCTTGGTTGTGCAGCCGTCTCGTGAAGACATATTGAAACTGATATTATACACCTCCACAAATGACATAATTAGAAAAAATGCTCCTAAGGGCCTTGGACTCATAAACCTAGTCTAAACGGAAGATGCCACTTTTTCCTTAGAGGCGTGATCCACGGCCACTTGCCAGGAACCAGAGGCTAGGTCTATTGCAGAAAATCATATCGAGCCACTAAACATTTTATTAGCTTAAGAAAGGGTAAAAGATGCTTCACTGTTGCTGCTATTCGGTTAACTAAAATAAAGACATAAGTTTTGACTACTGACCACCGAGGGAGACCAAGAGACTTTGTATATTTTCACCCTCCCCTGCTGGAGTTGTTATACTAACGTCCCTTTCATCTCATCCTGCTTTTACGTAAAGCTGCGACGGAGCCGCTATCCGGTCGAGGAGCCATTATTCGTCTTAACTTAGTAGAGAGCTTACAAAACTATGATCGATGGCGACGGCAACGACAGCGGCAAGGTCAAAAAGCAATAGGTTTAGTTAGCAAAACATCAACTCTGCACGGGCATCACGCTTTTTTGCACATTTCTTTGCCGTCCCTGCACGACTACGACGTGAAATGACCAAATTTTAAGTTGTTTTGAGGACGGGACAGGCAAGGCGATAAATTGTACCATCCCTTTCTGAACTCGGGGGCGGCCCCGTCTCTTCAGCTCCAACATAAATTCCCTTCTTTTAATTAACTGGGCGACTTGGGATAATCTTGAAATGGTTTGAAACTTATATGCGGAGTCTATTTTTCAGTGAAGTTTTCATGGACGTCGCCGTTGTCAGATCGTAAGGTCCCTTGTTTCACCGCTGTACCGTGGTCCTTATCTTGAGGAGAGAAGAAATGTTAGCAATTACAGAGCAACTCCCTAGCTATTAGCTCTAGCTTTGTCAGGAGGACTATAACTATCCGTCTAACAAAGCTCAACAGAAACAACACTAAAACGGGCTTAAACAAATCAACCACAGAGTTCGGTGGCCGATTTACACGTTTAAAACATGTAGGGGACTACTCTAAACAATCCACTTAAACAACCACTAGCGTCCTTCCGACTAAAGTACCATCGTTTCCAAATGTTAATTGAGTCAGGTTTGGTGAACATAAGCTAACCAACGCAGCAACACAACCTCAGTAAAAATTTTACCCTCCATTATTTTAAAAATTGAATTCTCTGAACATTCCAATCGTATTTCTGTGTTTCCGCTCTAGAGGCAGGGATTACCATCGAGGGTCGTTCTTGAAGAACTCATTGGAAAAGTCAAGGTAACAGAATTAGTGTTTCAAGAGGGTGTGAATGGGGCTAACCGACTAGCGACAAAAGGCGAAAAATATTACGGACTACCGACAAAACGAGTAAAAAATTACCTACTACCGACAGGAAAAATATTAATCGACTGCCGACATGGGCTGACATTATCAATATTTGTTTTCAGAAAAAAGAGCATTTAGCATTTTTTTCTAGCCGTTAAGAAGTAAGCTCTTTAAATTTATGACTCATCATATGGTCTAACAGAAAGAACTTCCTCTTTTGTTGATACGGGTACATTACTACAACCAACATCATAATCACAGAAGCCACACCTTAAAGATGCTACCGACTTTATAAATGTTATTGAAAAGACAAAGGTGAAAAAACTGAAGGTTTCTTGTTTCTGTCCGAGAAGTGCTTAGATTAATCCTCAAATAAAATTCTTTCCAGTTTAATGGAAAGCACTATCAGTAAAAAACCACGGTACCGCGATGAGCACAAACAGCAGTTTCCTTTACAACATTTTCATGGCCGCATATATTGAAACACAAAGTTTAAGCAAAACCGTCTTTAAACCAACCGTTTGAAAACGCTACATAGATGATATTTTTTCCCTATGGGACATAAGTAAACCAGACATGGTAGATTTCTTCAAATTCACGGAACAAGTAAACTTACTTCACCCTACTGCTCTACTGGCTATGAAATTTACGACCGAAATATCTGACACTGAGAC